AAAAAAAAACATAATTTAATTTGCATTATATCATTTAATGCATTCAATTATAGTTTGTCCAAAATGTTTTAAACAAGCCTGTTATTTCAAATTCACATAAACAAGTCAAAGATACTAAAATATGCATTTACATAAAAAATTAAATAACCCATTGTATTAATTAAATTTGCGTTAAGTTATGTAATGCATTTATTTATACTTCAAATAAAAGTCCTATTAGGCAAATGCTATTTCAAAGTCACATAAATTATAGTAAAATATAATTTTCATAAAAAAAACTGCATTATATTATTTTAATTAGCGTAATCAATAAGCATTGAATGCATAATGTTAATAAATCATCTTGTGGTAATGCTTTATGTATATATATATATATATATATACATATACACACACATATATATTTATTGCTGCGAAGCAGCCAATTTATATTCTTGACAGCAATTTGACCTCTGAAAGGTCATTGTTTGTCAAAAAACAAGGGCCTAAGACAATGGGTCGTGTCTCATATTATTTGTTATATTTTTATTATTCATTATTTTCACTTGACTCGCATAAATAATTTTGTTCGAAGAACATTTATATGCAGTTGTACTTCGCAGCACTTCGCAGCACTTCACTTGCAATTTGCAATTTCTAGTTTTATTTATTTATTCGACACCAAGCAGTGTTAAAAAATACCAAAAACTGGGTAATTTATTTATTATACATTTTATTAAAAAATATATATACCAAATGACTTGTGATGAAACAATAAAGATGCTTACATATATATTGTGTAGGTTCAAACCATCACTGAACACCTTTTAAACAAATCGACCAATCATACTTAAATAAATCACAATTTCATGGGATTCACAGCATTTGGAGTGAGTTTGTAATCACTTTCAAAATTAAATAAAAAGCACTTCAGAACTTGCAAGTCATTCTGATTTTTTAGTCCTTTCAGAATTGTACTTTCTAAAGAATGATTTTCCAAATTCATAACTTCCTAGCATAATGGCACAGGCCGGCATTACTTTCAGGATCCTTGGTGTTATACCTGAATGGGGAGAAAAACAAAAGTTTAATAAATACATTTGTTTTGACAAACTGACGATAGCAGGGGTGGTGCCAGGATATCCCCGACGACATCCATGTTGCTCAAATTCCGGGGAGCTATGACTATTAGTCAACTGCTTATTTACTAATTTACTAATAATGTATAAAAAAAAAACCATTCAATTTTTGTGTTTTTTTTCTTTATGATGTGGGGACGCAAATTCTCCCAGGCGGCAGGCCCTGCCCACCAGTAGCCTGGATGATCCCCACGGTGTGTGCGCTGAACCATATGTCAAATGCAAGTTACTATTTTAGCCCATTTTTTTTAGATGTTTTAAGCCATTGTTCTCATGTGCATATAAGCATGGGTGCATGTAAGATCTCTGTATTCAGATCACTGTATAATTAAACTGATGTTTTTGTGCGTTTAGTGCAAAGGTGGCCATAGGTTCAACACCTCATGCATTACTTTTATACGCAAGAGCTGGAGAAAAGCCACAAAATGTGTGAGTCTGATGCCCCAATGCATGAGACTTGGTAGATCTGTGTGTTGCCAAATTCTGAACAACTCAAAATCTCAAAAATCTTGGGTCAGCTTTACTAGTATGGTGAATAAAAAAGGAATTTTTCAAATCTATCTTGAATGTGTGTGTGACCATGCATGCACCGCGCGTACAGCCTAGACACGACGTCTCCTCTCACTGCCTGCGATGACAAATCACTTGTATCGCGGCTTAGAGTGGCCTAGCCACGCAGTAATTAATCAACATTTGAAAAAAAAAACATCTTCAGAATCGAAATATATATCCATATTTTTCTGAAATAGTTTTCTGATATATATTTCCAACAATAATAACAACATTCTCCCAAAAAATTTTTTATGGCTACATTAAATGAAAATTTTTAAAAATAATAATAATAATATTAATTAATTAAAAACACTAATCAAATTAATAAAAAAAAATATATATCTAAACCTCACCTGCAAATAGTCCAGGCATTCCACGTTCCATGTAGATGCGACGAACAATATCTTTGGTAGTAGTAAGTTGAGCAGCAGAACCTACGCAATATAAAAATAAGTTGAATCAAGATGGGAGTGATACATTGTACATTATTTTACAAAATCTAGACAATTTTCTGATAGGTACCGTAAACTCTCGCATATAAGACAAGGCTTAAAATATCAAATTACGGTAGAAAAACAGGGGGTTGCTTTATACGCAAAACACATACAAATGTTTAAATCATGTCTGTAAAACGCAAAGTTAAACTGAAATGAAGCTACTAACTATTACAGTACTATGAATGATCACAATTTTAAGAGCAGGAAAATAAAATTTTGATGAACATTTGAAAGTCAATAAAATGGTATTATTTGAAGATTAGCCTTACACTTGTCTTCATTTTTATCCAGCTGGATTCATATGAAGACCATAAAAAGAAGCAAAAAGTAGAATTTCTGATGGTGACATAAAAAATCGTCCAAAAATCTTCTCAAACTCAGGGGGTACACTTATACGCAAGAATATACAGTAATTTCAATGTGACATTGTTGGTTCAAGACCAAATACAGAGTTTAAGATGTACGGTCTAACACAAGCTAAATAAAACTGAAAAATTCAATTCACTATTTGAATTGCCTATTATTAACTTACAATTTAAAATTTAATTTGAATAAAAGAAAAAATATTCCCTGTTCAAAAATACTTAAAAAAAAAAATTCATTTGTAGCAAAATCTAATATTCAAAAACTTCTTTTCTTTTATTAGATTCTTCAAAAGATCTATTGAAGGTGTTAATTGAATTTTTAGGTTTTCCCCAATATTTTGAGCAGACAATACCTCTTAAATTATTAAAACCATTATTAGAAAAAACTAGATATATTAAAAAACTTTACTGTATAATAATTAAAACAATATTAGAATCATAATATATGATCAATATATCTTTACTTGAAGTGCGCCACCTACAATAAGGTTCATTCAACTAGAGAAAAGGAGCAACTCAATATTCATGGTTATCTCAAAAGAGTATATTTTTATTCCGAGGTGGCACTAGGATTTTCCTGACGGGGGTTTGAGGCCCCCAACGGTGGGCTGACATCACCGATAATAGCAAAGTGGCTGTTGTCGAGCGTCGCTCAAAACCTTTAGAAAGTGGTCCAGGGTACGAATCCCCCAAAAATATGCAATTTAGGGTTTCAAAGGTTTATTCATCGACTTCTAGTTTAGAAATACTGCATGAAGAAACTACATAAAATTTGTTTCTACCCGACAGTAGGTCCATGGCTCCTCCACCCTCCCCCACCGATGACACCCTGTTTTTATTGCTCAAGGACACAAGCGAAATGCATAGCCAGAGATTTAAACCCCGACAAAGAGGTGTGCAAAACAAAACGTTCCTGCTACGCAAAACCACTTACTTCGTTTAGTTTCAATTTCACCCATTTCTATCTGTCGGTGGGTTTTTACAACATCAAATGGTAATGTTAACACACCAGCAATCTGGTATAGATAACAAATAAAGATGATTCGTATCAGAAATTATATTAAAAATAATACTATATAATATATCAAATCACTCAAATAACTTTGATATTTCAAATAATATGGTAAAAAATATGTAAAATCTATGTTATCATTGTCATTAACATTTATGCCATATTTGTCATCAGTATGTTTATTATCATTAATAAAATAAAATATTAAGATTTTTATTTAAGTACTAATTTATAATTATTTTTATTGACAAATAGCATTATTGATTCTGCAGCATATATAGTGATAGCTTATTCAACAGATGTAGTAAAGAACATTTTGCTTTAAATTAGGGGAACGGTGAAGTATTCAATAATAAGACTCTGCCTTCTTGCCAACTACACTTCAACCCACATGAATTCTGTGTATATTTTATTATATTATATTATAGTATAGTATATTATTATATATATACGTATATATACATATATATATATATATATATATATATATATATATAATTTTTATATATTTTATATATATAATTTTTATTATTATTATTATTAAGGAAATGGGTAGACTTCTGTTAAAGTAACTTAATTCATCTTACTGTTCCGGATATTGCACCAGCAGTAAAGCTTACTACAAATGTTGGCTCAGGAATATGATATAAATGACATAGTTTTGTTCGGAAATATTCATAAGCCACCCACAGTATCACTGCAAAAGAGAAAAATACTAATTATGGTTATTAATAAATTTCATTTAATCAAACAACTGCAAGTTTTGAATGTGCTATTACTGACAAATTTACAATTGAACATACTTATGAAATTTTGTAAAATATATATGTTCGTGGATTTTATAAAAATGCATATCATTATGCAGGTATTATTGCGTTTAATGTTTAATTATAATTTGTTAAAAATAATTTTAGATTAAAAAATTAAACACCTTACTTGAGAAAGGAACATCCCTGAGTAAAGTTGGCGGCAGGCCTCGCCACAATGAGGATACACCTTCTTCTTTGATAGCTGTTTTGATACAGTCCTTCAACTCGTGGTAGCCTAGAACACGCGACTGCATCTTGGTTCGAATCAACTCCAGAGGACTTATCAATGACACAACGCCAACTAAATAGATCAATTAAACAATGAGTTTGTCAACAGCAACATCATCATCATTTTTATTATTATCATTATAGCGTATTGTTCTAAGAGTTGCAAATATTATCCTCATTGATAATGAGTTTAGATCTCATTTTTAGAATAACCTGGGGATAATATGCTAATTATCTATGATGTACGACATGATCTGTATACAGTAAGAGTATGAATACTGTTTCGTTTAGTGCATCCAGATGTGATAGTACATCGGAGTACAGGTAGCACAGTATTTAGATCAAATGTGTTGAATCGTACATGTGTGTTAAGATTTTGTTTCCGATTATCAGAAAAACACTTTCTGCGATGACGACTTCAAAATTTATCCAAGATGAATGAACCTAGTGATATTTTTACATTATAAAGATAATTACGCATGCCCATATACCTCACAATGACATTAAACCATCCCAGAACACTTATTGTAGCTGCTGCAAAGAGGTGCTTATAGCAACGCAATTCAACAAAAAAAAGGATGCACATAGCGCATGCGTACAGTCCTCTGATCTTTACTGTGGCATCGACAATCCGATACCAGTTGCGAGTACAGCCGTCAATTATTAGTCTATGCGTGCCATACGTTTTATGGTGTTAGTTACTATTTTATTAATTTCGGGTACTTCGCAATGTCTTTTACATTTGATTTCTTTTGACCACGAGCTTGTTAAGTGCTTCTATAAACTACAATTTGATTTGTGAAAATTGACTAACAAAATGAAAAGTTATAGCAAATGAAAATTTACGATTTTTATAAAAATCCATGTTCTTATATAACATTAAACTGTCATTTTGATAATGTTGGACTAAGGTGCACAAAACAAACATTTGAGTAGATACAGAAAATATATTTATTTTTTTCTGCGAAGTGAGTCCCATGAACCACTGGACACCACATCATGGGTAAAATTAATGTTGAAATAACGAATATAATTTCAGTCTAATGTTAATGCAAAAATTCATTAGGCCGTTGTAACCGCTGCACAACGAGCGATTATCATGGCAACTGACATGCACGTGAATAATTTGTTACACGCTAACGGTTAATTATGGTTTGGTTCCTATGGTTTTTGTGATAATCAGTGTCGCGTAGCATGTTGATTCCAGATTTATATCATTTGATGTCCCGAGATGTGCGTCCTTTTGTTGAATTGCCTTGCTTATAGTAGAATCATGATCTAATCATTCCACAACGACAGGGGCTGAAATGAACCATAGCATCCGGTTAACCTCCTAATTCAATTTAATGTCTTCACTATAATTACCTCGAGCGATGCCACCAGCTACCATTGGTATAAGCAAGCTCTGGTTATCAGCATCTTGGAATCCCATCATGCCTTTGAGTTGATCATAAGCTGTGTAATACATAACCGTCTGTGGCACTGCCATCAATCTGGTGGACAATACAACAAAATGCTTTAATTACCACTGCCAAGGACATTATGCAAAAACTAATAAATGAATCATCATAAAATTTTATCGAATGGTACGTAATAATCGAAGGCACATTTCATTATTTCGAGTGAAAAGGTCAAAGGTCAAGGTAATGAAAATTCAATTTGTTGACGTTGTTAACGTCCGGACGCCTGAAGATTATAGAGTGCTCCCTTCTATAGGGGGAAAAAACCATGTTATACAGATGCTAAAAAGCTGATTTTTTTTGTGGTTATACATATTTTAATATGTTTTCTATGAAAATTGAGGCTTAGAAATCTGCCAAACATATTTTAAACAATAAGAGCCACACTTCAGAAACAAAAACATTGGTGAAGAAGGGTATAAAAAAAGATTTTACTTTGCTTTACCATTATTAGATCCCCATCCTCTACATTGTGCGAAGATTGGTAAATAACAACATTCTATTAATCCATGATGTTCCTGGCACTTGTTAGGAGTTTCAAGTGAATAAAGTGAGAGTGAAACTATTCAACTGTTGTAACGGACATTCCAAAGTTTTAGCATGTTTATCATTAGACTGGGTCAGAAGTTTTGGCTGCTGCCAGGAGGGAGATCCCCTTTCACTATCAATAGGATCCATCATGGTAGAAAGAGAGTATTAACAGACATATTAATTTATACCATACTTACAAAGTTGGAGGCAAGCCACTCCACAATGCTGTTATACCTTCATTCCTTGCTATACCAATAAATGCATCCTAAAACAACATACACAACATGAAATAACATATATCAATATACTCTCATTATCCTTATTTGAATATTGTCATTATCATATCAATATAAATATATAATTAATAATACCATTTTAAAAATTATTAACTTTCTATTATCTTAAACTTTTATTTCTGTTATTATTTTAATCTTTTCATTTTATCCGTTATTTTTTGTCATTATTATCATATTGCCATTTTGTTGTCATCATGGTAACCACCTGCAGTTCAAACTCAGTTTTGTCATATCAGTGCAGTAGGGTGACCAGCCTAAGGCACATATATTCATGGTAACCAACACCAACTTACCATAGTACCACTATAATGTCCTGGTAACTTGTACCATGGTCGTACACCAGTGTTACCATTAATACAGGTGCATAGGTGATCCATCAACCCATTGCAATACAAAAAACACTGACCTTAAAAAAAAAAACACAATGACATTTATTTAAGGGAAGAATTTATTTAAAATGAAGCTCTAGAGGGGGAACGTAAATTCAGCTACACATTGTTTGCTTAACTTATTTTTTAATTTTATCAACTGGACCTTCTCATTTGCTCAAGGGGCTCTGAAGGAAAAAAAATTGTGATATGCTTTGATTGAACATTTAACAACTGGGAGGAAAGGGGAGAGTGATTAGATGAGCATCTCCCTGTTTTTTTTAGATCTTTAAAAATCTGCATCTTATTAGAAATTCCTGACTAATTCTTTTTCATATTTTTTAATGTTCATATTGCAATTTTTCAAAAAAAATTTGAAAATTTGTTAATTTATCACTGTCTAGGCCTATATTTACATCTTTGACCTACCATTGACCATTGGTTTCTGCTGTGCTTGTAACCTTATTTTCACAACATCCATTGGTGTCACTGAAAAAGCAAAAAACAAGAAAAAATAAAAATCATTACATAAGGCATAGCCTAGGTAGGCTAGGCCTACCTAGAAATATATTCAATTCAATTTCATCAAGTTTATTTCCATAACAAATAGCCTTTAGGCCTAGCAAATTGCAATGAAATAATATTTATATAATTAAATAAATCTTATATCTTGTTTGACATGAAAAAATGTTTATAGAGAGACAACTTACTTGTTAAGCTTGTCAATATAGCTCCAGTACAGGACGACACCATCTGCTGCCATGGCTTCAGGCGAGTTTGGTTTCTCGGCGGCCTTACATCTACAGCAGGAGCACTAGCTACCATATCTTGCCCACAGCCGCGGTTCTCGTCGGTAAAGCCAACGGTACCTGAGCTAGGCCTAGGATTGTTCGACTCAGATGGCATAATGCAAAACAAATAGTATTTTGCTTATCAGTGAATAATACCTCAATTTCATGTCATTTCTAGCACAAACATTTTTAATACCGTATTGAGTGGTGGTAAATATCAATCTTGCCTTTTCATCTCATGATCACACCACCACACTCTGCATACACACACAGCACGTTGGTTGTTTATGTTCACCTACAGCGCATGCGCATATTATACTAAAACTTCCATGTTCAAATTTGGTAAGCAACAACTAAAAAGTAATAGTAAGCAAACAGCCAATAATATAACCAGAGAATTCGGACAAGCTATAGTCCTTCTGTATATATATATATATCGGAAGCTCACAGAGGACCCCACTCCGGAAATTTCTAAGGAAGTGGAA